AAATAGAATTTGGGGGTACCTGGGTGGCTCAGTCAGTTAAGTGCTACCTTCGGCTCAGGTCATGATCCCAGGGTCCTGAGATTAAGCTGTGCATTAGGCTCTGCTCAGTGGGGAGTCTGTCTTCCTCTCCCTCTACCCCTCCACCCACTCCTGTGCTCTCTCAAATAAATAAATAAAATCTTTAAAAAATAGAATCTAAAAAAAAATAGAATCTTTTTCTGATTACAAAAGTAATACATTTTTTAAAAAGTATTATTTTTAATGATTGTATAATATTCCATCATATAGCCATCATTATTTATTTAATAGTTAACATGTAATTTCCACTATTTTGTTATTATGAACAATCCTGTGAGAATTACCTTGGTAATTTCCCTCCTGTATTTCTGATTATTTTCTTTGGCACATGGAAATGAGAATTTCCACATCAGGCTTTAATAATTGATAATACATTTTTCTATTAGCTTTCCCCCTCAAAATTTCATGCATGGCAAAAACAGTAATGTCTCATTCAATATTTTTTCTTTTTTTTCAATATTTTTTCTTAAAAATATTTATTTAATGAACAAACCACATTGAAACAACAATGTAATTTTTAAAAATATGAATAAAAATTTACAATACACCCATCATAATAAACCAGCTTTAATTTTCCATACTCTCATTTAATCCTTTTTCATATACATGAATACTTTTGGACTAGAGCTTGGCACACTTTTTTTTTTCATTTCTATTTTATTTATTATGTATTTTTTTATTGGAGTTCAATTGGCCGACATATCAAACTTTTTAATAAAAGACCAAATAGTAATGTTTTAGGCTTTGCATGCCACACAGTCTCTGTTGAAATTATTCAACTCTTATAGTGTGAAGGTAGCAATAGCTAATACAATAAAATTTTTTTACAAAAATAGGTGACCAGCCTGTGTTTGCTGAATCCTATTTAGCATGAATAGAATGACTATCTAGTCATTCTTATAATATAGATGAAACTATTTGCTTGGCCATTCATGAACCAAACTTCTTTCTTTTCCCAGATCTTTTTTAACCATCTTGCCATTATGGAGTTGGAGTCCCCAGATTGCTATGTTTTTGGTAATGCGATAAATTCAATGCACTTACTGATTATAAAAATACATGATTTATTTTATTCTAATTTTAATTTTTAAGTTTTGTTTATTTATTTGAGAGATAGAAAGTGAGAGACAAAGCATGAGCAGAGGGGGAGGGTCAGAGGGAGAGAGAGAGAGAGAAACAGACTCCCAGCTGAGCAGGGAGACCAGATGCAGGGATGGGGGGTTGGGGGGCTTCATGCCAGCACCTCGGGATCATGACCTGAGCCAAAGGCAGATGCTTAACCAACTAAGCCACCCAGGTGCCCCCAGAATTTTTTTATAATGGACTTTAAGGATGACTCTTAAAAGAAAAATAGTCATCTGTAACCTCACATCACAGCAAAAGAGTTTTGATCTCTTTCTGCCTTGGTCTACGAGTACACTTTTCGATGATTATATTGATGGAAAAGATAATATAGCAAGAGGAATTTGGGGGAAAAATCACCTCTAGTTCCACTGACTGAACAGATAAAGTTTTAGTTCTTGTCCACCAGCAAATATATTTTTATATGGCTGTAGCTATGTACATCTATCCTTTTAAAATGTTTTTTCATTTTCTCTAATGAACACATATTCTAAGCTTTATAAATTTGCCCATATATTTAATCTTCTAGAGGAATTTCAAAATGCATTCACCTTATTTGGTACACCCCCTCTTCATCATTCTGAGGCAGCTTAATCCAGTCAAGATTTTTATTTGTATACTTTTACTTTACTATGAAGAATTTTAGTTTTTGTTATTTTTTTTACTATGAAGAATTTTATTTTTTTTAAGATTTTATTTATTCATAGAGACAGAGAGATTGATAGAGAGAGAGAGGCAGAGACAGGCAGAGGGAGAAGCAGGCTCCATACAGGAACCCTGATGTGGGACTCGATCCCAGGTCTCCAGGATCACACCCCAGGCTGCAGGTGGCGCTAAACTGCTGCGCCACTAGGACTGCCCTATTATGAAGAATTTTAAATGCACAGAAAAGTTGAAAGAATAGTGTACTGAACACCTATATACTCACCACCTAGATTCAGCAATCTATAATACTTTAGATATACATGCATAATTTTTTTCTCATTCATTTGAAATTGAAAGGCAGATATCATGATTCTTCCCTTCTAAGTACTCAGTAGGTATCTTCTAAGCATAAGACTGTTTTCCTGCATAACCACAATGCCATTATCATAATCATATATCATATCATATCATAATCATCTCTAATATCATCTGACATCTAGTCCATATTCAAATTTCCCCAATTGTTCCCAATTGAGGAATATCAAGCAGTTCCATTTGGAACTAAGATCCAATTGAGGCTTATATCTTGCATTTGTTAATTTGTCTTTTTTGTTTTTTTAAAGATTTTATTTATTTATTCATGATGCACACACACACAGAAAGACAGGCAGAGACACAGGCAGAGGGAGAAGCAGGCTCCATGCAGGGAGCCCGATGTGGGACTCGATCCCAGGTCTCCAGGATCACGCCCTGGGCCGAAGGCAGCACCAAACCGCTGGGCCACCAGGGCTGCCCTGTTAATTTGTCTTTTCAATCTCTTTTAAACTAGAAGAGCATCTTGACATTTTTCACCAGGGCATTGACTTTTTGAAGTGACTGGGATGATTGTCCTTATTCCACAGTCTGGGTTTGTCTGAGTGTTTCCTCATGGTGTAATGTAGATTGTTTATCTCCTGGACTTCCCATACACTCTGCACTAAGTCTAGAAGTGAAGTAGATTCAGGTTAAACCTAAAATATTTCACCATTCACTCCTATCAACTTTGATTCATTAGACATTCTCTTATGTATAAAAATATGTTCCATGTGGCATGGTGGATGAAATCTGCTTTGTAAAGGTTCAGAAAGGTTTTACAGCAGGAGACCTTGGGAAAATTATTTAACTTCTTTGAGCCTCAGTCTCCCCATAGGTGAAAAGGGAAGTGGTAGACACTTAATAAATGTTTGCTCTCTTCCCCTAGTCTGTAGGTTCTTCGGGATCTCACAAAGCACCACCAGGATAGATATCTCAAGCACGTCTGAAGAGCTCACGTTTCCTAAGTAAGACAGCAGCAGCAAGACGGCAATCATTTCTGTGGAGACAGTATCATCATAATGCAATATTAGCTACTGTGATCTTCTATCATTTCCTTCCTGGAGAGTTATGACTGTGGCATTGAGGATTTAAGACCTACAGCCCGAACACTACTTACTACAAATCTCTCACAAAGCTGCTGCAATAAATCTCGTGGAGGAAAGTCATTGCATAAAAAATCCCCAACTCCAGGGAGCTGGCCATTTATTTTCCTAGGAAAGAAGGGCTGTGATGAGAGACACTCCATGCTCCTTTAACTCCATGGAACAGAACCCAACAAAGCATTCATCATAGAAAGTTGAGTGATGGGCCCAATGAGAGGAGCTGGGGAAGGATGCTGGTAGGGGAAGTGCCCCCACCCCAGGCCTGCTCAGAGATTTCCCCTCAGCCTGGGGATTAGCTCTGCATAGAATCAGCACAACTGAGGATGTAGTTCCTCAAGACAAACTGCCTGCCTTTACTGATACAAAGCCAACAATCTAAACTTGGGCCCAATCTACTTCACAGATTTATTTAGTCTGCATAGTGTTTAAAAATGTTTTTATTTAGATCCCCAGCATTTAAAATTTGAAATGTAGGGACACCTGGGTGGCTCAGTGGTTGAACGTCTGCTTTTGGCTCGGGTCGTGATCCTGGAGTCCTGGGAGCGAGTCCCACATCGAGCTCCCTGCATGGAGCCTGCTTCTCCCTCTGCCTCTGTCTCTGCCTCTCTCTTTCTGTGTCTCTCATGGATAAATAAATAAAATCTTAAAAATAATAATAGAAAGAAAGAAAGAAAGAAAGAAAGAAAGAAAGAAAGAAAGAAAGAAAGAAAGAAAGAAAGAATTTGAAATGTCACAGAGAAAGATAAAATCCAGATTTCTGGCATCACTAAACAAATTGGAATAGTCAACAACGGTGGATGAGGTTCCTGCATTCCTGCCCCCATAGGCAGAGTGAGTAGGCTTCAGTTTTCCAGTTGCTTCCCTCCTACCTTACCTGCTTTGCAAGCAGTGGAGTCTGCATTCCCCATACTCATCTATTGCCCTGGGGTCCATTCTCTCACCCACTGTCCTTGTATCAAAGTGCAGCCTTTACATAGAAAATGCAACCAACTGATTCTTCTTCAATCATGATCTCGTACACTTCAGGAGATACTTTTAACATGGCCAAGAGGCAGCCTAGAGTAAAGCAGAGAATGTAGGCTTTGCCTAAAGTCAGACTTCAGCTCAGATCCCATCTCTCCTTTCCCTGGGACGTTATCCAACTTGCGAAGTTCCTCTTGAAACTTTGTTCAAGTTTGCTTATAGCAAATTGTCCATACTAGGACTTCCCACTTTGGGAGACACCTTAGATGTGCCATCTTCTCCCATATTCTGTGCCCTCATGCTCTCTTGGTTCAGTCCTTTCCATGGCTTCTTTGCTTCATTTTTTTCTGTCTTTTTTAAAGGTACTTCTTCCTGGAACATTCCATACATGTCAGTGTTCCTCATGTTTCTGTCCCCGACATTGCTCCCCACTACTCCTACTCCTTACCCTTCCCTCGATCCAATGGTGGTACAGACACACAAATTGATAAACAGATGACAACACAATATGATTTGGTTATGCTTTTTTTTAAAAATTTGATCTCTGTAGATACTGTCAAAATTTTTTTTTTAAGATTTTATTTATTTTTTCATGAGAGACACAGAGAGAGAGAGGCAGAGACACAGGCAGAAGAAGAAGCAGGCTCCATGCAGGGAGCCTGACATTGGACTTGATCCCAGGACTTCAGGATCACGCCCTGGGCCAAAGGCCAAACCACTGAGCCACCCAGGGATTCCCGAGACTGTCAAAAATTGTCAATGCCCACTGTACTTCAAGTCGTCATGGTAGGATATCACACAAAGCTTACAATTAGCAATAATTGTACCTTGTATAAACCTTACTGGCTACCCCAGTGCCATTGTGCAAAGCTTGTTTTACTTTTTTCCCCCCTTCTTTAAAGTTTCATTTACTTAATAAATAATCTCTATACCCCCATGGGGCTCAAACCCATGACTCCAAGATCAAAACTCACACACTCTTCCGGCTGAGCCAGCCAGGTACCACCTTTAACTTTTCAAAATTTATCATTATGTAAACCTTTGCTCTTTGCTGTGGCACATTCTTCAGAAGAAACATTTAATGGCCACACAATATTCCATTGCATGAATAGATAATTCACTTAATCATTCCTCTAACATTGGACAGTTAGGTTGTTCTAATTTTGAAAGGTGAGAATGCCAAGAATGTCTTCTTATAAGTGACATTTTGCTTTGGGATTATTTCTCAGGCTTCTTTTTTCTTTTTTTAAGATTTTATTTATTTATTCATGAGAGACATAGAAAGAGAGAGGCAGAGACATGGGCAGAGGGAGAAGCAGGCTCCCCACTGAGAACCTGACGTGGGACTTGATCCCAGGACCCAGGGATCCTGACCTGAGCCAAAGGCAGGTGCTCAACCACTGAGGCACCCAGGTGCCCTCTCAGCATTATTTTTTTCTCACAGTACCTCCATTTTGGTCTTTTGCTCTTCTCTCCTCTTTCTCCTCTTCATGGCCCTCATGTTCCCAAAAGTTTAAAGCATTCTCTTTGGTGTCAACCTGATGGAGAGAGCATGATGTCAATAAAGAAAATAGCCCTTTCTGTTGACAATTTATTTGTCAGAAAAAGCCTGCATAAGACCAATGTCCACTGGAACTGAGGAGCAACAAGCTTCTGTGTAGCTGTTCTCAGGGTGGGTTTTAAAAAAAATGAATGCGTAGGAGCTTCACAGGTATGTGACATCCAGGCAAGGCAATGTCTGGGAAAGTGGGGATAGGTTTTCTTTACTCATATGGCAAGTCCTGTACAGAGTTGTAGAGAACCGCATCCAGAGTCAGGAAGGAAGAAGTCCCCATGCAGCTGAGAGAAAATGTTAATTTGGAAATAAAGGAGGAAGTGTTGGATTCAGTTAATGAATTTTAAGTGCCTGCTATGTGCTAGGAGTACCGACTAGATAGTTCCGTTGGCCCACGACTGCTTGGTTGCTGAATGGAAATGCACTGATAAAAGTCAGAAACATAAAGTCAGGTTTGATAGGGAAGTGGGATGTAGCCTCAACCAAGGGAAAGGCTGCCAAAAAGGAAGCTGTGGGTAACTAGCTTTTTGTGACAATTTGGCTGTTGGAAATTCAGTTGACTAGCTTGATGACTCTCCTGAGATTTTTACCTCTCCTTATGAAGCAATGTCCCACCCAGGGTCACTAAGGTAAATTACTGAAGACAAACAGCCATCTTACAAGGAGTGTTTTTGGAGACTTTATTATCCATTGCGAAGCCAGCTGGCAGCACAGAAGTAGACAATGAAATGTTTCAAGGTCAACTCAAAGTTATAGGCCTTTTAAGGGTTTTCATAGGTTAATTCCTCCCTCCTCACTGTAACATCTTCTCCACTCTGCACCAAATTTAGCATCCTCTTCCTGTTGTGGATTAACAACTGTATCCTGTAAATGGGACTATTACCAAGAGAGGCAGAAAGAGGAGCATTTGCTATTTTTTCTTTGAAAAGCCCATAAAGAAAGAAAGAAAGAAAGAAAGAAAGAAAGAAAGAAAGAAAGAAAGAAAGAAAAGCCCATTTACAGGCTCTTTCTCTTGTGATTGCATCCCAAGAAGTCAGTAGAGAGATCTAGCCTCTCCTGAGATCTTGCAACCAATGATATCACTTAAATGCATATGACTCTACCAAATTTGAACAGCGGAATCCCATAAATTTTAAATACTAAGTAAGAGAGAAAGAAGTAAAGCTTCCTAACTGGTTGACAAACTGGCTGCAAAAAAATTGTCTCCAACCAAGAGAGAGCACAGACCTGTCCTCAGCTGCTTCGATTCTTTAAAATGGGAAAAATGCAGTATGTTAGGGATGCCTGGGTGGCCCTGGGTGGTTAAGTGTCCAACTCTTGGTTTCAGCTCAGGTCGTGATCTCAGAGTCCTGAAATTGAGCCCTGCTGTCAGGCTACATGCTGAGTGGGGAGCCTACTTAATATTCTCTCTCCCTCTTGCTCTACCCCTCCCCTGCTCTCTCTCTCATCAACAAACAAACAAACAAACAAACAAAATGCAGCATGTTTGGGAAGTACAAGGAAGGCAGAGTTTATGTTTTCTCTCTGGTAGGCCAGAGACAGTACAACTAAACTCAATTCTGCTTGGGTGTCCTCTTTTTAAGCCTAAGTAAAATCTGTAGGTCTGTTGCAAAGGCAATAGAGAGTGGAGGGAGGATTAAGCCTATTTTTGCATTTAGAAGACCTATTTTTGCATTTTGAAAAGGTTCATTTTTTTCCAGGCTAGCTTGGAAAAGAGACTAAAGAACAGCCTTCAAGAGGTCTAGCCCACAGAAAAAAAGTTCTAGAGTCAGGAGAGGTTTGTTTTGCTTTAAGACTTAGAAAAGCTTCAGTGGGCTGATGAATTGAACACAGTCCCAACTATCCTATCCCAGAAAATGAAACTCTGATCTGAAGTCAGATTTCAGGGACATCAGGGGAAGTTTGTAAACCCAGCAACAATCCCCGTTCAGTTGCTCTCTTGTGCTCCTCAAAAGTGCCTCTGCATCATATGCTTTTCTTTTCCTTGGCTGAAGTGGCTGTAGCATGAAGAGCTCACTAGCCAGTGTTTATGGCTTGAGTGTTCTAAGCCTGATTTCCCGGATCACTCCCTCCAGCCACCCAGACCCATTATGGCCTCGTCTCTGTGACTGTGAAAGCAATCCACTGCTGACCCATGGAGCTGTGAGCTCACAAATGGGTGTTGTTTTAAGCTGCTGCGTTTGTGGTACTTTCTTTCACGGCAACAGAAAACAAACTCACCCACCTTCCTCTTTTCTTACTCAGGAAGAAGCGACCAGAAGACCCATTAACTCAACTATACCCTCTAGGGAAAAAAAAGGCATCTCTAGAACTGAGCACCCATACTGCCCTCTGGTGTAGAGCTCCCATAAAACAGGCATGGGTAAGGGCCGCTCCCCTTCTAAGAATCTGGTTGTCTCCATTGCAATGAATGAAACTGGAAATATCGATGCCCACCTAGCACAGGAGTCCCTCCTCTTCAGAGTTTAAAGCAAATCTGACCTAACAGTCCTGCTATCCTCAAAGTTCCCTGAAATGCGCGGTGACAAACCTATTGCACACAGTAACACATCATGAACCGCGATAGGGTAAGAAAAAGGACAGCTTTTCAGACTGTCATCTTTCCACTGCCCAGGCCATGGGCCAGAGAGTTCTGCTGGGGGGCGTCCATGCTCTGCCCAGAGCCTGCTCCCAGGGGCCCCAGGCCCCACACATGCTGTGTGCCTCCCCTAGCCAAACAGAAGCCCCTAGGGAAGGAAGTGTGGCCGTCTCCTTAGCTAATCACCTGCCAAATCAGCTTGGGTTTATTCTAAGTGAGGACCATCCTCCCCCTTCGCTCACACCCACTCAGGCTTCACTCTTCTCTGTCAGCCCAGCAAACTCAACAGCTGGTGGTTTTACACACCAGCCTTCCCTCCTGGGAGACTAAGAACCTCAGAGGTTGAGAGGGCGCTAGAGCTGTACCTTGGGAACTGCTGAGCATTTAAGTTTGCTTTTGTGCTGGGTGGGCCCTGTACCTGGTGCTGCTAGAGTGCTTCAGGAAGGTGCAAAGGGCATCCTTTCCAGGCAAATTAAGAGTGCATTTCCTCCCCAGGTTCATTCAAGTGCATTTTGATAGCTCTCAAGCCAAGGTGCAGGGAAGCAGGTGCTTTTGCATTTTGCCTTCATAACCATCTTGTGAGGTAGATAATAGTATCCTCATTTTGTGGATGACACTTAGGTTAAATGACTTATCCAAGGTCACAGTCAATAAGCTGTGGAATTGGGATTCAATTTAATCTTTTTTAGAAGTCCGTATGTGGTATTATGATTCATTTTTATTTGTATTTATTTACTTTTAAAGATTTTATTTATTTATTCATGAGAGACACACAGAAAGAGGCAGAGACACAGGCAGAGGGAGAAGCAGGCTCCACGCAGGCACAATGTGGGATTCGATCCTGGGACTCCAGGATCACAGCCTGAGCTGAAGGCCGATGCTCAACCACTGAGCCACTGAGACTCAGTGGTCCCTTATAATTTATTTTTAAATAAACTTTTTATTTCAGAACAGTTTTAGATTTACAGAAACATTATGAAGATAATACAGAGTTCCCATATACCCTACATCCAGTTTCTCTTATTATTAATATCATCCATTATATGGTACATTTGTCACAATAAACCAATATTGATACATTATTGTTAACTAAAACCCATGCTTTATTCAGATTTCCTCAAAGTACCCTAATGTCCCTAATGTCCTAATGTCCCTAATTTCCCCAATTTTCCCTAATGTCCTTCTCTCCTGTTCCAAGATCCCATCCAGGACTCCACATTACGTTCAATAGTTAAGGTCTCCTTAAATTCCTCTTGGCTGGGGCAGTTTCTCAGATTTCCCTTATTTTTGATGATTTTTTTTTTAAGATTTTATTTTATTTACTCATGAGAGACACAGAGCGAGCGAGAGAAAGGCAGAGGGAGAAGCAGGCTCCACGCAGGGAGCCTGACGTGGGACTCCATCAAGGGTCTCCAGGACCAGGCCCTGGGCTGCAGGCGGCACCAAACCGCTGCGCCACCAGGGCTGCCCATTTTTGATGATCTTTAAAGTTTTGAGGAGTACTGGTCAGCTGTTTTACAAAATGTACCTCCATTAGGAATGCATGGTTAGACAGGGGTTATGTGTTTTCAGAAGACCATAGAAGTTAAGTGGCATTTTCATTACATTGTATTGGGGTGAATATTATCACTGTTGACCTTCACCCAAATCAAGCTGAGTTAGTGCTCGCCACATTTCTTCTTTGTAAAGTTACTCTTTTTTCATTCTTTTCATACCGTACTCTTTGGAAGAAAGTCCTG